TCACAGGGTCACATAAAATCACAACTGGACAGTTTAAGAACAGGAAAGAACATGTAGTTATATAGCCTTTCACTTGCTACCGAAGGTGTAGTGCTGGATCCAAAATGAGTAGACGATGATGCACAATAACATTATACATAGGAATTAGCGAGGATTTCTCTTTGTATATTCAATGAAATAGTACTCCTGTTACATTAGTTAATCATGTATATATGTTCTTGATTCCTATACCAGATGCGTTCCTTACATGCTCGAGGAGGATGTTGGGGAGAAAAGCTGCCAGCAGGACGTGCTAGGCAGGCTGCAAGTGCTCATGATCTCGACGCCCAAGCGAAGCGATCTCATCTTCCCAAAGGTGAGACAGCAAGATCAGATGGCCATACGATATGCGCCCTTTAATCAATCATGCATGCATGCAAAGAATACGAACAATTGCTCAATTATGTATATGATGCTGAATATGAGCTCTCATCAGATCAGGAGCAAATGAAAAGTTTTTATTTGTGATATGTAACATCATGTGCGTTGGCTGGTATTTTGCTGCTGCAGGGTGGATGGGAGAACGACGAGAGCATCGACGAAGCTGCCTGCAGGGAGGCCTTCGAGGAAGCAGGCGTCAAGGGCATTATCAGCGTGGGTGCCTAGCTTGATGACCTATTCTTGACGTGGCAATGTTTCCCGGTTTATTTATTAGTGTATACTATTATAACATTAGCTGGTGGATTAGTGGAGCATAATATATATTTTATCTATGCTTGCATCATGCATGATAGGGGAGTCTGTTGGCTCTAGTGCCGTGGTATGTTTGGATTTTTGTTGTTGCCTTTCTAGAGCATCAGATTAGATATGCATGGTAGTAGACTAGTACGATAGGATGCTTCCGAGTCATTTTCATGCGTGTCATTTCGGTATGTGATGGGCGCGATAGAACGGTCAATTTTCAGTGGCTAGCTTTCCTTAAAAAATTTTAAGTGGCTAGCACCTAGGGGTGGTTTAGTTGGCGATTTTTTTTGAAATGGTACTGTAGCACTTTCGTTGTTATTTGGCAATTAGTGTCCAATCATAGTCTAATTAGGCTTAAAAGATTCGTCTCGTGAATTTCGTCTAAACTGTGTAATTAATTTTATTTTTTATTTATATTTAATGCTTCATGCATGCGTCCAAAGATTCGATGTGACGGGGAATCTTGAAAAATTTTGCAAAATTTTAGGAACTAAACAGGCTCCTAAGAGAAGTGCCTCAAGCTAGTGCTCCTCTATATATAGCTCATAGGCCATAGATTGCTAGCTAGCTACATGCCTATATAATGGTGTTTTGTAGCAAGGAAATTTTCTTTTTGGTGAAGAAAAAAAAATGTGATGCACGCTTCAACTATTCAAGTGTGAGATGTAAGATTTCAAACCATTGAAAAAGATGCTCAGCATGATGAGCATGGCCAAAATTGTAGTTTTCTTTGCTACATCCAGTAGGAACAAATGCACCAATGGGCAATGGTTAGGTGGCCAACAACCCCATATGCTGCACGGCCACCATCATGCTTAATCCGAGCTCATGAGTTTCATGTGCTGACATGGGGATAATCAGCATTATTGCCAGCAGTACTTCACATGTACTTCAGAGAAAGAGAGATATAACTAATAAATGAGAGCATGGGAGAATCAATAGATTGGATTTTCTTGGTAAAAAAAAACAGACATCTGTTCCACTTCCACTGGATCGATTCCTTGGCAACAAGCAGCATTGTTTTTACTTCTGAGTAACTTTAATAACTGAAAATCACGGGATGGATTGTCAGTGCATAAATAAATAGCTAACAGCTGAATAATATGGCTTTCGTTCAGGCGACGCCGCTGGGAGAATGGGTCTTCAAGAGCAAGAGCAAACAGAACAGCTGTGGTCTGCAAGGGGCTTGCAAGGGCTTCATGTTCGGACTACAAGTCACAGAGCTGCTGGAAATCTGGCCTGAGCAGGTCACCCATGGCAGGAGATGGGTGAGCATGCATGCATGTCATTCTGCTGCAACAACTAGCAGCTCGCCATTTCGCAGATTGTGATCTCATAGCAGCAGCTCATGCAGTTCTTGCACATACATGTTCAGGTACCCCTAGAGGAGGCGTACGGTCTCTGTCGGTACGACTGGATGCGGGAAGCTCTGGACAAGCTCAAGGAGCAGCTGCTGTTCGAGAGCAACGAATTCAGGCCTCTGCCATCGCCAGAGCTGGTGGACTCGTCGAGCCTGTACATGGTGATGCCGGCTGCCGCCGAAGGGGCAGTAGCGCTGTGCTGATGCTGATGATGATCTCACACGCCAATGGCAGTGGCCAGCGGCTTTGCTCGTCCATCTGGAGTTCCAGGAGCCAAATGGTTCAGATGTCGTTGATGGTTCAGTGCTTCAAGGCTTCAAATCTCACCTGCAGAAAGAGTTGCAGTGTCAGAACCTTGCGGAATCACCAGAACAAATTCTAGTGTTTAATTAATGACCGTTTCATGTTGCCGAGAACTAATTGGAAGAAACAATCTAACAAATTTAAAGTTCTATTTGTGGAATTTTTTTATCCTTTTGAATGAAAAACAATTTTGAAAACTGTACCATTGTTCTTGAAGCCTACTATAAGAATCATTATGCAGTGTCCTGAGAACACAACTGAATGGTGCAGAAAAGATAATAGATTGCTCTGGATGCGCAGGGCAATACAAAATAGCTCAGTTTGCATACTGGATGGCATTCTCTAACTCAGCATTCTTTGTGATGACAATGAATTAATGGCCCCAGGCAATGGGATCACAGTTCCATTACATTTGTTCATCGCAAAAGTAATTTCCTTAAACATGCGACATACAAAATCCATACTCATCCCAAAGACACGGCAGAGGGCATGAGTGTCATAACTGATGGAGAAGCTTCGTCTGTCAAATCACGGTCACGGCAGTGCGCTGAATATGGAACCGTTAGTCCCACTCCCATGAACAAGTTGGAGGAATACAGTACGAAAGGAGCATTAGAGAAAGTACGCACAAGAGGAAATTTAGAAGGACATGAATCCAATGCACTATTCAGTGACAACTGACAAGTGCTATAAAACCGGAACACATTCCAAAAGCAAGAAATATGATTTGGTAGAGAAAATGCTAGTGCAAAACTAAAAATATGTAAAAATCAAATGCTATAAAACCAGCAGGACAAGTATTTAAGACAAAATATACCCATGACAGATACATCCCAAAATTTAGGACAAGGACTTCATACTGAAAATGGTAGCAAATTATTCGGTGAAAATTAAGGTCAGTTAGCATTCTAATTTCTACTCGTACTCAGGAGTTACAACACACAGAATCAGCTGTGAAATGAAATGATGAATCTCAGAAGAATGAAATGATGAATCTCAAAAGCTAACTCTAAACAAAATCTGCGGCTTGTATACAGAGAACTGAATTTGATTATCAACCTATATCGCCCTTCTCCATTTGCTGGCAACAAGTAGCTCTCACTTTTGAGTACTTTTGTGCCTGACAATCACAATGCTGGCAGCAATGACTTCTCGCCTTCTCAGAGACTTAAACACCGCATGACTGCAGCCCAACACTAATCTGTTGACATGTCAAGGATAGACATAACAACCAGAAATGGCTTTTATATAGGTGGCACCATAGGAAAAATGGATCTTCAAGAAGCGGCAGGATTGGTGTGGCCTGGAAAGTGCTTGCACCCCAGGTCACAGTGCTGCTGGAATCATGGCCTGAGCTCGTAAAGATGGGTAAGCATCTCATTCTACAGGCACGCCTAATCTACCATTATGCAGATGAGTCGGCGTCAGCAGCTCATTCAGTTGGTACCAGAAGGCAAGGTGGGTGCTCTCGGTCAATACAATCAGATATGAGAAGCGCTGAACAAACTGAAGGAGCAGCTGCTGTTTAAGAACGACTCCTGCCATCACAGGAGTCACTGCACTCTACCGTACATGCCAATGTCAGATGTAGATGGAGCTTTGCTAATCACCTGAACTTCCAGGAGCCAATGTTTTAAATGGTGATAGTGTTTCAGGTTTTCCTTATCTCACCTGCAGAAAGAGATGTGATGTCAGATTGTTTGGAATAACCAGATGAGCATCTATTGGAATGACTCATTCATATCCATTCAGTGTTGCTGAGAACTAACTGAATGAAAGAAGGTAGACTTCTGAATTAATTGCAATTTGGGAAGTGTAGCAATACAAGAATTATCTTGTGTCCTGAGAAAAGGATTGATTGATGCAGAAAACCAATCATCCTGGCTGTGCAAGCCAAAAATAGTAGAACAATATAAAGCAAGTGAAGGTTGATTGTAACCAGCAATAAAGTCAACAGTACCATTACAAAAGCAATGAAGTCAACATGAGACATACCTGAAGGATAAGCCACATATGTCAAATCACTTGCAGCTTACTGAATATGGAATCATCAGTCTGATGGAGAAGCTGGAAATACACAGTACAAAAGTAGCAGAAACTGAGAAAGTAATTAAAAATTATAATATAAAAGGATTCAAATAGTTTAGAGTTGGCATACTTATACCTGTGAAGAATATGAGCCTAGTCAGGAAAGCAATTTGGGGTTGCCAATGCTAGTGAAAAATATGAAAGATATGAATTAAGTACAGTACTATTTGACAACAAATATTAGCCATGCTTATCAGCCATGATACAGTGTTTTTCTCTCACAACAAAACAGCATCAGCCGGCTTATAAGCCACAAAAACGATCAAGCGAACAGGGTGTGAAAACTAAAGATTCATTAGCATTCTACACAGCGGATGTTACAGTCTAATATGATCAATCAACAGGGAAATGGTGATACAACCTCAAAGCTAACTTGAAACAGTTTGCTGCCTATAAACTGCTGCTTCTCACTAACACATACATGTACAGTTAAATCACTCCAGTTAACCCACTTATTCAGAAGAATAGACTGCTATGGAGCATGGAGCTGTGAGCTATATACGAGATGTCGCCATTTATATTTGATCAAGTATCTGGCTTTCTCTTCTTTGAAAGGGGGCCAAATGCAGCTGCAGGATCGAAGGAGGTAGAACCACCATTTGGCTGGCCCAGACTACCAGCTACCACTGAGTCGCTCACCATGTCGAAGTTTAATCGACTGTTTACTCTCCGGCCGCTACTGCAAATTTAACAAGAAATGGAGTGGTATAAATTAGTGTTGTAGACATGAAACCATGTTGTAGAAAAGAAAGTGTCATTTTGAGATTCATACTAATTTAGGCGGCTATTTATAGCAGCCAAATCTTTAGATGGGCTCTGATAAGCATGGGTGCCTTCACCAATGCATGCATAAAAACTCCTGGAACTTGGTGACAGAAGTGAATCCATCTGACAAGTGGCATAGAGGAATGTGTTATTGGAAAAGGGAATGCAGTAAAGAGATAAGTGCTAATGATTCGACAGCATTACTATTATGATATGAAGTGGACAATAAGGTGGAAGCAGTACCACCCACCCTCATAGCAGCATTGACTAGTCTTAAAATAACTTACAATAAAATGAAATGTGGTGACAACAAGCTGTAGTATTGAAAGGTATGCCAACCCTAAGGAACTTAGGTAATCTCCATCTCAATTCTTAAGAATTATTCCCAGCATCTAATGAAATGTAAGGAGCGGCCTAGAAAAATTCTGGGTATTCATCAACACGATACACTACTGTGTTATGGCTCTTGTGAGACTTAACCTCTAGCCTGCCCCACGCTTGGGACTCAACGGCTTTGTTATTGATGCTGTTGTTGACACATTAGTGTGCTGTAGAAAGTAAAGCGAAGAATGAGAAAAAAACCTTGGTTTGCCGCAAAGGAGACACATATACATTATGAGATGCTGAAACTTTCTTCGGGGACATATCTGGTAAATTATTTGGGAGAGGAGATGGCTTGGGTGATCCAGGAATTTGGCCTAAGCAAGAGTAATGACATCATTGACACATAGGAAAAGAAATAACAGTTCAAACTGAGAAAGTGGGTATAGCATATACCACTAGCATTCTTCTTGTCTTCTGGACAAGTACCAGATGATATTAGTGACACCAGGAAAGGCTTGGCTGCTGGAACAAACACCGCGTTGTAAAAACTAATGATACCAACATGGTGTGATACTAATACCTGTCGATAGCAAATAACTTTCAGAAAAACAAGCAATAAGGAGCACCCGAAGAATGAAGAAAGAACTGTCAGAATAAAGGTGCAATAAAGGTACATACGTCATTACTATTCCTACTCCCAATATAGATATTTTGAAAAACTTCTGGTTTACATTGTGCTTCTTTTCTGTAATAGTTGAGTAACTCCTTGAATGAGAGTTCTAATTTACAAGCCTGTCAGAGAAGGCATGGTCAGCCAGCCTAGATAAAAGGGAAGTAATGACAGGAAGCTCATTAAATATAGTAAATGATACCTTTGCAACACCATAAAGACAGCAAAGGATAAGTTGATCGATGTGTCTATTAAAAAATAATGTTGTCTGTTGATCAAGAATCTGATTGAAGACATTATAGACATGCTCTGTCAGTTCCACATGTTGAACCCTTTCACACAAGTTTCTTATTCTAACAGCAGCCAACTTCAGAATCTGAAGAAATTGCAGGTCAAAATCAAAACTGTAGGAAAGAAGATAAATCATAGAAGTGAAGTTCTGATTATGAGAAGATCCATACTTTGGAAAAAAATATCTGAATTGTCACGTCAGCACATTTTTCATTCCCACCAACAGGATTACTGACAGTTGGACTGCAAAGGAGACAAATGGTAAAACAATACTTCTGTTTCGTTAACAGAAAAGTAGAATGTGTAAATACTAGTACAACTGAAACAGGTGACTAAACCTTGCAAATGTGGACTCAAGTGGATGGCATTTTGCTTTCAAACTAGTCGACACCATGTGGCTTTGCTTGGGTGGAGGTGTCTGCAAATTGCGCTCTACCACTGTGTTCCTAGATTCATTGCACAATCTCTTTGGTGACCGAGGATCAGCGTTGTCATCTGCAAGAAACATGTGATGAATAAAATAGAGAGAGCCAAAAGCCTAAAAGGAACAAAGAGGAGTACCAAATAGAATTACTTGTTTCAAAAATATTGCAGTTTAATCTTTAAGGTTATTGAACCTTCAAATTTTTAGATGGTACCCAATTGGAAAGGCACCGTATTGTCATAGATTCCTTGTTCAAAAAGTCACTTCTACAGAACTGTTACACAATTTATAAAGGAAAATAGATCCTTCACCGCAACTTGAGTTCATGTTACCTTCTGCACTAATAAGTGACAAGGACCATACTTTACACTAATACATTGTACATTTATTAAGAATACATTGTACATTTGTACTGCTACAAACAAACAAATTCAGGGTGAAGTTTCATTGGTGCAGAAGTTTCACATCATTAATGCTGATTTTCATCTTTCCTGACCATAATTTTCAACCACATTACCCTTTACTTTTTTTGCCTTTCAGCAATAAAGCTAATCTTAACCTTCAGGACACAATGCTGATACTGAACCGATATTTCATTCAAGCTTCTGCTGATAAAATGGCAGTGACAACAATTATAGTTACTAACGCACTGAATATAATGACTGCTACCTAAATGTGAAACATCAAACTAAGGCTGAGTAGCAAATTACCTGGACCAGCAGCACGTTTTTTAGATGGTGTAGCAGGCAAGCCCTCAACATGAATATTCTGCCTTGCCACTAAGTCATCAAGAGATGGCATTGGTTCAGCCAAAAGACCAAGGTATTTTATTTCTGAAGCGAGAGATGGCCTGGCAACAATCAGTGAGTTATACAATGATGAACCTTTCTCCCATACCATGCTTTCCAAAAGCTGTTCTTCTAAGAAATTTAGGTGTCTTTTCAATTGTCTTGGGAGGGTCTCTTCATGTCTCACAAAGCTCTCAATTATTTTGCTCAAATCAAATGCAGTTAGACCCGTACTCTCAAGAACAGCAGGAAACATCATGAAGACTGACTTATGTGTCGTCAACACTAGCTCCGCTGAACATGCAATCAAACATCGGTGAAAACACTCATTTGACAGCAATGGAGTTAGATTATTTACATCGCTGTTTGGTAACTCAGCTCTGCAGATTGCCTCTAATACCCTATAGTACAACTTGGAAGCCTCCATTTTTCTGGCTTCTGCCCATGGAATATCAAAGCCATTTGCACAATTGAGGACTAATGAGCCACCCCCATCAGTAGAAGACTTGGTTGGAAAAATTGCTTCCAAAACTATGCTGACCCTTTCTGTGATAGCATTTGTCAAATCCCTATCGCATGATGACAGCAACTGCTGAAGCTTAGATGAAGGCTTCTCTGGCAATGAAGATATCACCTCACGAAGCCACTTAGCTGTCGTCATGGCAGAAGTTACTGGTGTCATTTGCACAATCTTGACTGAACCACCGGTGACGGGTGACAAAGGGGAACTAGGAACAGTCAGCATGTTCTTTATTGTCTTTGTGGGGGATGCCAATATTTCAAAGACACACTGCAAAAGAAGAAAAGGAATCGATTGATACAATCTGCAAAAAGAAACTCAACCTACTGAAATTTACGAACCATTCTGGATACCTTTGAACGTCCTAAATTGGTGGATTCCCCAGACGAGTTCTCAGCACAGGGGATATAATCATTATTAATCAAAATTAATTTAAAATCAAGCTCCCCTTCACAGCTATTAGAATTACATAGTTTCTCCATTTTTTCCAGATTAGATTGGAAAGACTCCATATCAATGAGACCTTTGAAATACATCAGGCCATCTGCAACAGAACATTGACAACAATTCAGCTAATTCAAGCATGCGGCATAACCAGAACTAGGTTTGCATGCACAAACATGTGAGGAAGGGCTCCATGCCTGTGTCTATCTTATCCAAATTTTCTGTTTTGCACTCTGAAGCATTTAGTGCTTTCATGCCGAAAACGTCTTCTATTGCCTTGTGAGACTTGTCCATCATTTCTTTCAAACGTTCTTCAGAGGCATGATAATTATGGCATAACGAAGCAATAAGATCCACGCCTTTCTCAGTTTGTTTGACTGAATTCGAGCAATGAAAAAAAAACATAACTATGGGCCATATGCTGAATGAATAAATTAAAAAATAGATTCAGAAGGAACCATTACTTAAGTGAGAAGAGCCTTCAACCGTGAAGCTCCTAAATTTAACTGGCACGTGGATCAAAAGTATGGCCTGCATTGCAGTAAGCAGTTCTGTGATCAATCAAAAATACAAGTAGCAGCTCACAGCACTAAAGGAGTCATAGTGCAAAAATCCGTAATGAAACAAAAGAAAGGCGAAATAAGCAAACTGACCAACACAGCAACTAATCCATGGATGCAGGACACCAGGTCCTTGAACAATTCTGGTGATCTCGAACGAAGCATTAAGAAGAGATGCCACCCAAAAAGCATATACTCAGGAGTATTAGTCGATGATTCAGGCTCCTGCTCAGTAGTTACACCTGAGAACAGTTCATTATATGCTCTGCGGTAGAACCTGGCATTTCATGAGAACGTTAGTAAGAGTTATAATACCATATGAAATTATGAACCAATAGACAAACTAAACGGTTACGGATTGTATATCACTATATCAGTAGCTGTTATTAGTAACACACCGATAGAAATTATGAGCATCACATATCGACAAGACAAAATTACCAGCAATTTTGCTATTAATAAACTGAGCAGAAAGTGCATAGCAACATTACCTGCTTGCCTCTGCCAGTAGATTTGTCAAACTCCCCAACTGCTTCTGCTGGACTCGCAAGTCCAGGTACCAATGCAGAAACAAAAACAAGTTAGTTCCTCCCTAACCCTCCATCTCTACAGAGCAAACCAACAAACCAAGACCAACTGCAGCGGTGGATCCGATAACTTTCGCAGCAAAACCGAATTTCGTATGTACACGCTTGTAATTAGATCAGATCCGAGTGCACCAAATAGCTTAAGTTAGGGTTTGGGTCCTCGGCACCGCACAGAAGGGAGAGCAAAGAAGGGGTGGGCATACCTGTTGGCTGCTCGTCGACGGCAAAGGATCCGGCGAAGGGTCCGGCGAAGACATGGCGAAGGGCCCGACGAAAACCTGGGCACCTGGCGTAGGGCGGCCGCTATGGTCGTCGACAGTGGCGGAGCTGGGATTTGAATCCAGGGTAGTCCTAGTCAAAAATTTTATATGCAATACGCCAAAAAAAATTATATGCAATACGGTAAAAAAAATTGATGTAAATGACTATAATTAACCAAATTGCAATAATACATTCAAAAGGTTCGAAACTTAGACTCTCTTTTTTCTGGAAAAATAACAACATATTTCATTTAATTATAATCTCACAAATCCACAATCCCCAAACCCTAATAAAGCTTAGAAGACACAATAACTCACCAGCCACCAGGGACGGACAGGGAGCGGAGCACTGCACACGGCGGACTGGGCGGCCCCCGGCCGACCCGGCCTGCTGCTTGCCGGCTACCGCGCGCGCCACCGGACTAGCGGAGGCGGAGCGCGCTCACGCAGGTCGCAGGGCCGTGGGGCGGCGAGGGTCTCGGCGAGGCCGTGACCACGGCACCACGCAGGGGAATTTGGGCGGGGCCGCGGGGGCGGCGGACGCCGGCCGGCGTGGGTGGGGCGGGTGGACGTCTACCGGCGAGGGGCGGGGCCGGAGCCGCGAGGAATCGGCCAGGGACGGGCGGGCGCGGAGTCGCGAGGGGAGGCGCCGACTCTGGATTTCTGAATGCCAGGAGACGACCGAGTGCTGGGCCAAAATTTTCTTGGGCTGCATGATACGGGGCCAAAATCCAGGGTAGTCACGATCGCCAGGAAAGGGAGAGAGCGAGCCCTGCGCCTCAACGGTAGGAAAACGGAGTTGCTCCTCAACGGTAAACAACGGCTGTGCGATGCGGACGATGACGTTGGAACAGGCTATATCTACGGCGCACGGAGACGGAGTCCGCCAAGGCTCTTTTTTTTTTTTTTGAAACAAAGAGTCCGCCAAGGCTCTCACAGAGGTCCATTGGACCAATTCCTTGTCCGAATAAAACAGCAATCAGTACCGTTGTTTTATCTGTCCATATATATCTCTATCTATATAGATATCTATATTTATTACATATATTAATTAATAATATTTCCCTATATTTATATATATATATATGAATTATATTAATAAAATGAAATAAAAACATCAGAGTTGACTATCGAGAGTGAAATTTAGGTCCTATCTACTACAGCTTAGCTTTCACCATTGAAGCTATTTTTTTTAACAGCTTCACGAAGCAGTTTTTTCTCGATGACTGGTTAGCAGAACAGCTTCACCAGTTCATTACTGGAGAGGGAAATAAGGAAGAGGGCCATGAAAAACTACTTTTTTAGCTTCACCTCTCTCCATCTTGTGAGAGCATAAAAAGGATCTTCACACATGAAATTGTTTTAAAAAAAAGTGTTTGGCAAAAAACAGCTCATTAAAGTGGTTGGTGAAGTTGTGCCAAACAGAGTCTCATTCTATAGCTGCCAAGAGAAAAGTACTGAGCTCTCTGAACTACGTTCATACTCCCTCTGTTCCAAATGATAAGATGTTTTAACTTTTTTAGATTTTTAGATATATACACTATGTCTAGATGTATAATAAAAATAGTGTATTTAGAAAAGTCAAAAACGTTTATAATGCATTCTAGATTAAGGATGGATTAAGAATGAAAGGAAATGAACGTAATGCTCCTCGATCGCACCAATTAACATATGCTTGTTCAGTAGCCTAAATAATGAGGGATGAGAGTGGATTACCCAAAAAATGCTTATATTTATGGAAAAAAAATAAATGCTACATTTCATGAACATTGTTTAATTTCTGAGTTCGTTCTAAAAGCTAAGGGCGCATTTGGTTCACATCCACGCATTGCCGCATCGTGCCGAACCTTCCAAGCCTATTTTGGGCTCGTGTTTGGTTCGTGGCATGAGTTGTGGCATGCTGTGGCCCCGCCATCGCTCACCGGTTCATTTTTCACGGCAAAATGTGCCACAAGTGTGGCGAACAAATTTGGGGCCGAAGTTTTGGCGCAGCCGCAGATTAGTTGTAGCATGTAGCGGCTGTAAACCAAACGCGCCCAAACTATCCTAGTGCAGTCACAATTCACAATGCTTCTAATAGATGACGATGAATGTCGACAGTAAGTTTGCACCGTGAGTAATTCTAGACAGCGGGGTAAAAAAGGGAAAAATACTGTGAAACATGTCAAAATGTATGACTTTGCTAGCATATTACAAATCATAGGTCAACAATGTTTGATTTTGATATCTTTTAGTATGAATTTCGCTATAGGTCAATTGTGATCCTAAATACTATGCCACGACTCTCGTGTAGGGTTGACTACTACTCCCTCCAAAAAAGTCATTTTTACTTCCCAATGAGTGTTTAACTAAATATATAACAGAGAGTATCAATATTTATGGTGTACAATAAATATCATTAGGTTAATTATTGAATATATTTTATATACTAGATGTAATCAAATTTAAAAAATTTAATCAGTATACATGATACTTCTTTTGGAACGGAGGGAGCATGTGACTGACCGGCTATGTGGTTCATTTAGAGCATCCTGAGAGTTTCAACAAGGCAATTGGTAAATCAATGAGTTTTTCAAGTGGCTAAAAAAAAGTTGGGAGCATATTTGTTGGATTCCTCTAACAATTTGTGTCTGTTTGGCATGGCTTCCACTTCACTAGTGAAACCGTTTTTTGGGCTTCAGCTCCATGAACAGCTCTATCAGTGAGAGCTAGGCCGTTTTGATAAATCGTTTGACAAAACAACTCCACATATAGTTTCTTAAAATATGCTCTCACAAAACGCCATGCAAGATGAGGTGAAACCGGGTAAAACCACTATTTTTGCTCTATCCCACCTCAAACCTATGTGAAAGCACGATTTTAGGGGCTTTCTGCGTGAAGCCATTTTGTTTTATTCTGTTTAGCACAAAACGGCTCCAAACGGCTCCTGAAGCCCGTGAAAAGCCTACCCAAATAGGGTCTTTATAATATTTCAGTCCTAAAATATAGAAAACAGTTTTGCATTAGAAATATTAGATTATTAATAAATCATCCTAACAACTCATATTTTCTCTTTTCTCTCTTGTATATTTGCATCAAGAACCTATCCTACTTTTTATTTTTTCCTACGTCGTTCGACCTTCAAATTTGCTGATGAAACGTGCAAATTTGCTGATGAAACGTGCGCATCTATCCACGCGGTTGAGTCGACTTTCCAGTGCGAAAATATTAGAAGTTTTGACATAGGAAGTTATTGGAGAATAGTTTTTTTAATCTTGTCAAAATAATCTAGACTGGGTGGGTTTTGGAAACTCTCAGTGACAGTGACTCCGATGAATGCGCTTACAAACAGAACTGCTGTGGTTGCTTGCCTCAAGGTCCGCCACTGTCGGCGTAATCAAACACTCAAGAAAAGATTTGGAACGTGAACATATATTGTTGCATTTTTTCGCTGAAATTGATGTGCTAAAAGCAGCCTGTTCAAAGGGTGTATCTGTAATCTTTGGCTTTATCGGTAACCAACCAATTTTTTTCTTATAAAGCCAATAAGCCAATCCAGCCAAAACAAACATGCCGAAGATTTGAATTTGTTCCCGTAAAAAGTTGCAAGTTAATTTTCAATTGAAAAAATAGAACAGTTCCCATTGAACCGCGGTTGCGGTCGGTGGAGGTACGCACGGTCGCATCGCACATGGTCAGGTGACCCGTGACCGTACCGTTCCAATCCAATCCAACGGCCAGGCGCCACCACCGCCGGCGCCCCTACAGTGCCGAGGCTGTGGTCTTCTAGCCGCTTCGTGGAGCAGTGGTGGAGGTGTTAGTCCACGCCGGCGCGTCCCCGCCTCGCCGCGTGTCCCACCCTCGCGCCACGTCCGGTTGCCTCCAGCGCCACCTCGCTCCCGCCCGGTTCCAGACGCTTCTCCCCGCTCCGCATAAAAGCCGCTACCGGGAGCTCACTCTGCTTCACCTGAACCATCACAGTCCACGCACGGAGAAGCGTCCGCTGCACGCCCTGGTCCTTTTCATCCTTCCGTCACACTCAGATTCGCTCACCGAACCAGTCGCCGCCGCGCGCCAGCCATGTCGTCGTCATGGCGTTCCGAGCCGCCGCGGGCCTCCGCGCGACCGCGCTGCGGCGCTACGTCCGCCCCACCGCTCCCGCCTCCTCCCGCTCCGCCGCCACGGCGGCCACCGCCGCCGAGCACCACAGGGCCGGCACCGGCGGCAAGCTCCCGCGCGGCGACTACGTGCCGGTGTACGTGGCGCTGGGCCTGATCGCGCTGTCGGTGACGCTGGGCCTGCACACGGCGCGGCAGCAGCTGGCGCACGCGCCCAACGTGTGGATGGACAAGAAGAAGCGGGAGACGGTGCCCGAGGTGGTGGCGCCGGAGCTCGCGCTGGACGAGGCCGAGCGTTTCGTGGACCGGTCGCTCTTCCGCAAGGTCGCGCACGTGCAGGACGACCGCAGCCTCGCCGCCGGCGTCGCCGACCCCGTCGCCGAGTACCCGTACGTCGTCTCTCTCATTCATGCACATATGAACCGAGTCTTAGTGGTGTTTAATTTTGGGAGTAAAGTTTAGTTATATATCGGGTGTTGTAGGCGAGGTTTCAGTGGTGTTTAAATTCGGGAGTAATTCGGGAGTAAAGTTTAGTAATATATAGGGTGTCGCAGGTGAGAGTTCGGATAGTAATAATAAAATAAATTATAGAAGTTTTAAGTATTCTATTAGACAATTTATTAATCTTATTAATCCGTTACTAGTACATGTTTAGTACATGTTTATATTTACGATATCTTCATATTATCAAATTATAGATTAATTAGATTTAAAAAATACGTGTAGCAAATTAGTTAGAATTTATTAAGTCTAATTAATTCATTATTAGCACATGTTTACGGTAGCACCGTATTGTCACATCATGCATTAATTAGGTTTAAAAAATTCGTCTAGCAAATTTAGTCATAATGTGTACATCTAATTATTTTTTTAATCTATATTTAATATTCTATGCATATGTTATACGATGCGACATGGAAGTAAACTTAAATGAACTAAACCAGGCCTAGATTTATGAGTGAGTGCATAATCATTGAGGCTTCTCTATGGTTCGCGTGCGTGCAGGACGAAGAAGGCGGTGACGCTCAAGGACGTGGGCGTGGAGACGCCGGGGATCGAGCGGAGCAGGGAGGGCGTCCTCGACAAGATCTTCAAGAAGAATCACGCTTAATTAAGTGCAACGATCCCTTCACTTTAGGAGTTTAGTACTCTCTCCACGCTTAAAAATAAATAAAGTCGTTGTGACAGCCACACAGTCTCTAGAGTAATACGTACTTTGACTCCTTATTTTTATAAAAATATTTATCAAAAAATGATATATGTATATTTTTATGAAAGTATTTTTCAAGATAAATCTATTTATATGGTTTTTATATTTTTAAACTCAACGACTTAAAAATTATTTATGATTTACTTTTGACTAAGTCGGGTCCAAAATGATTTTATTTTTTTAGCACGACGGAGTATTAGTTTTGGGTCAAATCAGCTGCTGTACTTTTGAAAGGTCGATGTGTTCTGATGTGATGTACATAGGAGTAATCGATAACACTCTTGTAAAGTTCATCACGTATGGGAAGTTAAGCTTGACCCCTGATGATATATGAGGACGGTGGCGCTGTCATGCATATATTGCTGGTATATATTCTCGCTTTCAGAGAACTTCTAAGGCCTTTAGATTGTCTCAAAATTCTAAGTTTTTTCACTTTTTTTCTATCACATCAATTTTTGAACGTATGTATGGAGTATTAAATATAGGTAAAAAAATAACTAATTACACAGTTTGGTTATAAATCATGAGACGAATCTGTTGAGCCTACTTAGTCCATGATCGGATAAAGTTTGTCAAATACAAACAAAACATGTTATAGTGTCTAGATTGTAAAAATTTGCAATCTAAACAAGGCTTAAAACATTGTAATTATCTGCCTTTTAGAGATCAAATACCAGTCTTGTCCCTATTCACCCTCCTTTAATCAGGGAATCAAATAGTTTTAGGTTGTATCGTACTAGATTATTCTTTACTGGCACGGCTTTGCCGCGAGAGAAAAATCCATCTTTCAAAATTGTATCTCAGCAACGTACCTTACAAGCGCAAATAGTTTTAGAAGCTATCACTAGAAACACTGGCACGGCTTTGCCGCGCCCTACCAATCCATCTTTCATACATTGTAGCTCAGCAACGTACCTTACAAGCGCTCTGGTTACGTGGAAGCTACACAGGATATGGAGTTTTATATATTGGCAAATTTATAAAACATAATAATATGATTACAACCAAGCAAAAAAATGTTTAATAGATAAGAGCTCTGGTTACGTGGAAGCTACACAGGATATGGAGTTTTATATATTGGCAAATTTATAAAACATAATAATATGATTACAACCAAGCAAAAAATGTTTAATAGATAAGAGCTCTGGTTACGTGGAAGTTACACAGGATATGGAGTTTTATATATTGGCAAATTTATAAAACATAATAATATGATTACAACCAAGCAAAATTTGTTTAATAGATAGCATGGAGGAGAGATAAGTTCAGCTGTTATGGCATTCTAGAATTGTAGGGGTAACTTGTGCTCTGTTATTCGAGTAAACTATGAAATTAGGACAAAACGGCATATGTACTTTCAAACAGGTAAGAGTGCGGTAGCAGCCAAAGAGGAGTTAGGCAATTAGGACAAAACGACATATGTGTTATTTCAGCGAAACGGACAAAGGCCTCTGATTTTTATGCTGATAATTTCAGCTAACATCAAATCCCACTTTCTGCTACTTTTCACATGCAAACAGAAATAACACATGAGAATGCAGTTTATATAAGAATGAAGGCATCCATGTGGGTTCTCTACTTAGCTTATTGGAGGAGTCTTTAGACAAGCTTGGCAAATTCACAACAGATCCCAACGAAAAATCCTCTATCCATTCATTTTTTGACAATGTCTGGTTTATGTTGCTGGATTGATCTGTGGCAATTAGCACTATGATTATTTCCTCACCCAACTTAGTAGTTCCTACAAGTGCAATGATATAAATAAAAGTACCGTTAGTCGAGGAATCAAAATGTAATTATGTAAATTATGTGCCGAGTATAATAGTTTTTTTTATAAAAAAGGTACGATGTACTGAAAACAGAGGATACAAACTTGTTTCTCAAACTTCTGAAGCCCTCCAAAACAAAGGAGAACATGGTTACAACATTTAAGCAAACAATTATACAGACCACCGTGTTTTAGAGTTTCAGTATTATGATAGTATAGCGTAAAATACTTTTATTATTAACTTGGTGGTTTGAGTTTGTTGGTGTCAAATGTATACATCATGAAAAGATTACTAGGATGCATTTGGGATGACTGTGTTTATAATATTGGATGTATTTTTTTTGAAATTCTTATCATTTGTAGCTCGTCATTGGCTCTTTTTATTGATATATACCAACTTACGTTGTTTGGGATATACCAAGTAAATCAATTAGTGCAGTTTATTATACAGAGGATATGTAGCAGTGGGGCCTATGCCGCCCGCTCCGCCGGACCGCGTGGGGAGACCGCTCATGTCTCTGTTTCTCACGCGCATTGCAACGTGCGTGCAACATCAGATCTATTTTTAAAACATTTTCACTTGAAACATGTGTCTGAAATATTTGAAAAACATCTAAAAAACACTTGAGCTATTGCAAACATACGAAACATCTAGATAAATACTTGCAACAAACGTGTGAAACATATGCAATATCGAGATAAACACACTTGCAACATGCATACGAAAAACAGATGAAACATTAGGAACAAAAACTTGCAACATTCATAACAACTATTGAAACATATGCAATATTCTAATCTATTTTTGCAACATCTATATGAAATACTTGAAACATACATATGAAACACACTGAAACACTTGATATATTCGATTGCAACATGTGTTTTTCATCCGTTCTTTCGGACGACGTAGAGCGAGCGGGGAACGGTCGGTTTCGAACAGCCTGCGGCCGAGGATGGTGGCACGGCCTAGCAGTGGCCAACTGCGCCTGCCCTGGGCCCGGCCAACGACGGTCCCCTCTCTTGGCTGCCTAGCCACACACGGCGGCGGGCGCTTGCAAGTGGAGATGAACGATGCGGTGGAGATGGAGGATGGATGATGGAGATGGAGGATGGGGATGCAGAGGATGGGCGTGGCGACGGTGGAGAGGAAGGTGGGTGGGAGGCGGGGTGGAGAGAAAGGCGGACGGGAGGCGCGGCGTAGCGCAGTCGCATCAATGCGTGATTTTTTTAATAAACTGCGGTGACCGGAGAGGAGCGGATAGGAAGAGATAGGATGGCTTTCTGGACGTCGGGGTCCACCAACAGGGGCGTCCGACGCGAACGGACGTCTACTTCCGAGCATTACCCTTTTAACTATGTAGTTAGATCATGGCCTAAACCATATAGATGCCCAAACGGGCTGCTTGGACCGGCCTGGTGAAAGCATGCCCAAACGGGCTGCCTGGCCCCGACCTTGTGAAAGCATGCCCAAATGGGCTGCCTAGACCCAGCCCGGTGAAAGCATGGCCTGATGAGACCGGGCCAGGCATGCCACGTCGGGCCACTAGGTCGTGTCGAAGGGGGTTTCATGCTTGGCTGTTGGTCTAGGCACGGTCTATCGGGCTGATTTTTGAGCCAGCGCGACCTGATGATAGTCTCCATCGCCGATGATAGTCGACTATTGGGCCGATACGGTTAGAGTTTCACTATTGGTTGTTTTGGAGCCGGCAGTGATAAGAGTGTCACTGCCGATTAGTGGCTTTAATCCACAGTAATAGGACACCGGCAGTAATATCGATGGTGACTGCAACCAACAATAATAGATTATATATGAACCGGCTGCAACCAACAATGATAGACTATATATTATCACTAGGAGCCATGAACCGACAATAATATCATAACTTTTTTATATGAAGTCGGATAAATATAAACTTTAATAAAATTGTAGAGTTTAAAGGGATATAACCTAAACTTTATAGTTGATAACTTTTAAATTTGAGATGGTTTACATGTATCAATTTTGAGATGATTAATGATGTCAAATGAAGACAAAGTCAACAACAAAACTGTAGTACTCGACGAGATCTACAACTTTACCGCTAACAACCTTTTCATCTAAGATCGTTTGGAGTGTTAAATACACAATATAAGATTTAAATTGTATAATTAAAAGAATAGCGTTAGCTATGTAATCACGTATATCGCGAACTTAGATGTCTCGAGTTCGAATCTTAAAAACATATATTTTTTTTCATTTTTATCAGTTATCACTGCCCATGTGGTAGTGACGGGAGTTACAACTCGGTAGTGATTTCCTGCTCTGACGTAGTGAGATCAAACATGTGATTGAAGATTATGAACATCTTATTAGTGGATTAATTTCAATTTATATAATCTATGCATTTACTATGTCCTTGTGGCAGACACAGGATCTAAAATTGACATCAAAATTTGTGTATCCGTACATACGCATCTATTCAGGAGTGAAAGAGTTGTAGCCTTAGCAGCAATGTCCATCGAAATTGACAAATTGTTGGCCACTTGGCCTTGATATTGTCACAATAATGAACTCAATTTTTGTTGGCCGCTAGATTGAAACATTGTAGAAATCAAAATAATGAAGCTGTTCGGCTCATGGTTTTTACGGCTGATAAACCGGCTGATGCTGTTTTGCTGTGAGAAAAAAACGTTATACTGATAACTGATAAATTCAAACGAACAGAGCCATTTCTGAAAGTGTTGTCCATTGATTTTTTTTCTCTTTCAAGCTTTGTAGTGAAATAATTTCTGACGCAAATACAGTAGCTCAAATTTTCTTGTTGTCCTCTCTTACTTTTTACATCGAGTAGAATATTTTGTCAGGTGTCATTAACCATTGAGAATCTCAGTGGCGGTTTTTGTCAGTAACCAGTCTTGCTCCTAGGCAAAACATCGAGCACATGGTGTGCATGTTCATGACTGAGGCACCGGTGGCGAAGAGTACGGCTGTCTCGAACAACAACGAGCGTTTAGCGTTGCCACCGCCGACTCCGTCGACGTGCTAGACACCACCACCAGGCCCCGTCGCTGCGTCCAGCCGACCCCCGCATACCAGCAGGCAGCAGCCAAAATTCGGCAAATATCTCCCCTGCCCGTGCAACCGGTCCAC